CGGCGGGCGCCAAGTTGACCGCGGGCCGCGCCGCTCCCGTTAACCGCGCGGTCCCTTTGTGTTTTTGTCGCAGCTCCCCTCAAGGACACCAAGTTGATGGACGTGAAGCTGGGCCAGCTGCCCTCCTGGCTGGCCATGAGCGACTTCACCCCCGGCGGCATCGCGAGGGCCGTGCGCAGAGGTGAGCGGGGCGCGGGGATTTTAGCTCCCCGCAGCAGCTTGTTCGACCCTCTGTAAATCTCTTCCTCCACAGGGAGCCGTTTTTTTTGCCTTTTTTCTTGTTCAAATAGGAAGCAAAGAGGGCATAAGTAGCATTACGGTGACTTGCTTATTTTTGACTCTCCTGCTGAGCTTATCTGCAGAAAACCTTTCCCAATATTGCAAGTTAAAATGTGGCTGATCCCTGAAAGTGATGAAAAAGGACGCAGAACTTACAGACATCATAGAGCATAAGTTTTGACCGGTGTCCTTTGCTGTAGATGCAGATAGAGCATTTGGTAGACTTAAATGCAAAATATCAAATGAAAAGGTGTGTAATGTGGATATAGTCTGGTATTACAGAATTAGATAATGTCAGAACAGCTTAAAGTGGGGGAAGTTATACCGAGATTCATGAGATAAATAGCGTTTGTTTGTTCTTAACCTTACAGCTGATATTACCTTCAGAGCTTATCTTAGCTAACTCACAGGTTAGGCCTTCTGTCACACTTGTTTCTTAAACTAATGAAATATCTGAGGGCCCCAGAGGCAACTGTGTGCTCAGAAGCAGCAGGGTTCTTTCTGACGGGCAAAAAGCTGCAAATCACCCAGCTGCTGTGAAATAACATTTCTTCTGTGCAGGTTACGACAGGTATTTCAATAAATACATTGATGTGAAGAAAGGGGGTGTTGGTGGTATTGCAATGGTGCTTGCTGGTTACGTTGTCATCAGCTACATCTGGAGCTACGACCACATAAGTAAGTAAAAGCAGTAGAGCTGACTATGTACAGTGCGAGTGCTTGCAAGATTGCTTGGGGCACTAAAACCAATGAATCTGCTACTGGTTTTTAGGAACAAAGTGAAGGGCTCTGCTAATCATTATCACTTTGAATCTGAGATGGGGCCCTATAGGCAGGCTAACTTTCTTTTTTATTATAGCTATAGAAAACTTAAATGCTTTTAGTAAATTAACAGATGGCCAATAGCTTCTTGTTGATGGAAAAAAAGCATAAACCTTTGTTGCCTTTGTACCCTGGCAGGACTTGGGAACTGTACGCTCTGATTTCTTGCAGAGTGCTTTCTTTCCTGTACCTTCAGCATTTCTTTTTTTCTGTGATTTCAGCAAAATTAACTTGCTTTACTTTGAATGATGCAGAGCATGACCGTCACAGGAAGTATCACTGAAGCACGAATTTCAGAAAGAGAAGGTGCAGTTCTTGAACAGACTTGGCTGCTGGAGCAGGTGTCAGACATCAGAATTGCTCATCTTGAAACCTGTACTGCTGTTATGACCAATAATAAAGTGTTTGCACTTCACACTTCCTGAGCTGAAACTCTGGTACTGTGTGAGTTTGTCTTCCCTGAATTTCCTCCCTCAAGGATAACTTCAGAGATGGCTGGGAACACTATGTAGTGTTATAAACTGGAGCAATTGCTAAAGTCATTTTGTCTTTAATGTTTGCTAAGAAGCATTCCAATGCTATCTTTACTTTTAATGCCCTAACCACTGGAGGTTGGACAGCTGTCTGAGAGGATACAACATCTGAATTTGATTGAATACCTGAGCTTGAAGCAATGCAGGGGTGTAGCCCTGTACTTGATTCGCAGTCAGGCTGCCCCTCTTCGGGCAATTTTCCATCACAAAGGGCTGCCTGAATTGAGATCCCTGTTTGCCTTCAAGGAGGGATGCTACTCCCTCCTGCCAGGGGAACTCAAGTGTTTCTTACCCGTAGTAGCCCCTTTCTGTCAATACTACAGCTGCTTCTACTGAGAGAAGCTGGAAAACTTTGAGTAAGGATGTAAGTGTAAGCCTAAAAGGCTTTTTAATACAACAAGGGTGCATGAAATAAAAATTTTGCTTACAGAGGAGGTGGTGGTAATAATAGATATTATATGCACAGATGCAACTTAAAAAGAGCATCTAGGGCTTTGGGCTCTCTGCCTTCCCCATGCACTCCATTAACCAGCTGCACACCCGTGCCGCAGCACTCCTGCTGATGCTTGCAGCAGTGCTTGCACGTACAAGCTGCAGCATCTTCAGGGGAAAGTGGCCAGATACTACAGTGCATTCCCTTTTCAGCTCCCTAGTGATATCCAGGCAATATCTTTAATAATTGTGTCACTGGCCACTGTTTACCCTGCAGGGGCACAAATGTGTGTTACGAGAAATGTCTTGAGGGTCTTTTTTTTTAATCACAGTCAGCTTGAAACTTCTGTTTTAAATTACTCTGAACATCCATAGTGAAATAAGTGTAGTCCTTCAACCCAACACAGACTCTTATTCTAGCCATGTGTTATACCTGGCTATAATTTGGTTTTGTACAACAAACAAATGCCACAGCCAACTTTTTGCAATAATACATTTCAATAAAAACAAAGTATAAAGGCAGTCAGCAAATGCAAGATGGGTTAGAATCAATAAGGCTCACATTGTAGGTGCATTTTTTTTTAATTCACATTTTATCATTGGCCCTTTTGAAATAGTCTTCTCAAAAAGTATTGGGATTTGGCTTGCAGGAATATGCTCTCAGAAAGATACTCTACCACTTTTAAAAGCAGCATTCCATAGGAATACACAGCTCCACTTTTTGGTGTTCTCGAGGCTAGGGGAATACCTGGTCAGTGCGAGCTGAATGGCTGAGGGGAGACTGGGAGATATATTTTTTTATTCAAAAACTTAAAACCACATTCATTTCCCTACTTGCTTTTTCCAAATGAAAAATAGGCAAAGACACAGCTTTCCTATAGTCATTGCTCCTCGTACTTTACCTAACCCTAGAGGTATCAATTTTATTCTCCCTATTCTATCCTGATGGTTTCTCAGGCAAAAATATTAATTTCTAACCTTCAGTATATTAAGAAGCACAGAAACGAAGCCCGTGGATGAGAGGCTGACATCCCGGTGCAAGGCATGAGCTCCCAGGACAAGCTCACTGACACCACCGCACTCCAGGAACACAAGTTTGCTTTTTAAGCCCTACGGGACAGCCCTATTGCTGCTTCCTCACTGAAGGGAGGACATTTCAGGTATTAGTTCTCCCAGTCAGTCTTCCTGTTTCCCCAGAAAAGACTGGAAGGCTGCAGGTTCCCCAAAGAGCAGTGGTAGAAGGAAAACACTTTAAGGAAACACGGGAGTAAGGTGTGTTTATGCAGAATGCTGCAGCGGTGAGGGGTTTGCATATCTATCCGCTTTTCCATCTACCTTTCAGCAGGGCTCAATGAAAATAGTCGGAGGCCAAAACCTATTTTAAAAAGGTTAAAACATAAAAAAAGTTGTGAACAATTACAAAAATGTTGCTTAGCAGCAGCCAGCCTCTGACCAGTTCTTTCAGTAATGGCATTAAAAAGAAAAACAACCTGATCAATAGTTCAAAAAATAGTGCTAGGCAGAAACCTTTTCTCAGTGTTAATAGCTCCCTTGCATTCTCCTCTCTGCTCTTTCACTGTCCACTGAGAAAGGCCAGGTGTCCTTTGGTGCATCTGTTGGCATAATGACCTTTTTCACCACACTAGAAGAAAGAGAGAAAGGGAGGTTATTACACAGTTGATAGCTTTTTTTTCCTGCAGCTGCTTTTAATAATGTAACCAGCAACCATTCTAATTAGACAGCTTTTCCATTTCTGGAAGATGCAGAGCTCAGCAGGTGAAGTGAAACATGCTGTCACAAGGAACATGACTTAGGCTATTTTCACTGGTTGGAAAAAAGCAGCTTCCGTGTTGGCACCAGCGTGATCAGTGTTACAGTAACGAGCTGCCAAGGACAGAGCTCTCGGCTCACTACTACAAATGGAAAAGGGCTGCACAACACAAGACCCCAAGGAGAATTTCCATGTTCAAGGCATCCAAGACCACCTCACCCGAAACACGCTGTGACAGAGATGTATACAGGACACTTTCCTATCAGCTATCCTGGATTAGACACAGAAAAGTGCATCTGGACAAGAGAGTCACAACTTTGCACCTTAGGGCAATTCAAACACAGCAAGAAATGTTGACATCTGGTGTTACTGTTTTCTCTAGAAATGTAATTTACTTGATTCCTTAAATCCTAGCAGTATAGTGTTCATTTACTGGACAGAAAGCAGAGCAAGAAAAAGCCTTGGGCAATGCTGTGATTTCTGAAAGCTCCAGTTCAGAGGGAAAAAAAAAAAAAAAGTGAAATCCAAATACTCCATGTTGCCTGTGTTGCCTTATTTGTTGTAAGATTTGGCTAGCTCCAATTATAGAGTTTCTGCCCCTGAGGAAGCCACTATCACCAAATGATTCCACTGGAGTGAGTTTACATTGTTGACATTTAGTAATACTTCATTTTGGAACTGAATAAGCAGCTATTAAAGATTTTCTGTGAAATTGATTTAGCTGCTTAATACCCCAATCCAATCACAACAACTTCTGAACCACAAATCAACCAGTAAAACCCAGACAAGCACCTTGGACACAAAGTTGGCACATAGTGTGATGCAATTGTCAAAGGTGATGTAAAAGGAAGATTCTTTCCGGTAGTGGCTAGGGTTGCTTTTTTGTTGTTGTTACTTTACATAAACAAGAGATGGAAACTCAACTGTGTCTAAGTTCTGCCTAAGCTCCTCACTGAGCAACCAAAACGAGCAGTTTGCTTCTTGGTTTGACAAGGGGTGTTAGAGCTGAAGTACTGGCAGCCTGTGTAAATTCGAATTGCATTATTCCACACTAAGAGAAGAAAATCTTTCCACAATCATGAAGTGTAATTAAATGAACTCAGGAGCACAAAACTGATTTCAGCTCTTAGTATGAAATGCAGTTTGACCATCTCCTTTAACTGATGCTGTGGCAGGGCTACCTGTTATTAGCAGACAAGCACAGACCATCATAGAGCAGCTCTAGGTGGGCTGCAGCAAGCCCAGAGCAGGCAAACAAGCAACCTAGAGGCATCAGACCTCAGTACTAATTCTGAGAGCTGCAGCCACTTGCCCAAATGCAGTGTCTTAACAATCACAGCACATATTTTGTGAATGTTTTCACTCTTTGCAGAATACACACCACATATCACAACACCCATTCCTTTGCTCATGACAGCAGAAACTGCAGCATGGGATAGTCCAGGTGATGAACAGTCTGTCCTTTCTAAATGAAGGCCCCTCTGCTTCTCCTTCCCATGAATTACCTTGTAGCAGGTGACCTGCTCCAGCGGCCGGGGGCCTCTGTTCCCAGTGTTGTTGTTCTGGGACTGCATGACTCCAATGACTTGGGGTGTCCTCTGTTGGTTAGGAGAAAAGTTTTGACTTGTTAAGTGCATCATGGATGAAGACCTTTGCGGTGGTTATTTTGTTAAGAAGGGAAAAGAACACCCCACATATTGAATGATCAATTTTTCCTCCAAATTTAAGCGTGGGTGAACTGCCAGCTGGAGCACCAGAGAGAAGAAATCAAACACTGAGGCATACAAAGCCCAGCAGTCCCGCTTTTTGCTCAAAAGCAGATTTAGAGACTTGGTTTAGGCTGCTAAAATATCATTGCCATCACAGAGATGTCATGCAGATTACAAAAACTGGCAGAGAGCTGCACAACCACATACAATGTGCTTCTGTGTACGTGGGAGTGTTCTGTGACTAGATCTTTATGTAAGCTGGAGTAACCGTAGGACTTCTGCTATATTGTCACTCAGGGTGCTTGTGCTTAATTCTTGCACAGTGACCTCCTTCCAGACAACCCAAGGAACAAACTGCCCCTGCTGGCCTCTGAGCTGGAGGAAGGTAGTAATGATAAGTTACCCCAGGTGCTGTAAGGGGAGAATTTAATTTAGTTTAATGGGTGTTTCTTCAAGACTTTCCAGCAAGTCAGATCTAAGAGTCCAGATGTCCCATTGTGGGCATTAGACAATTCACCTTTTAAAGCACTGTGCGCCGTGCTCTGTGGGTAGGTCTGTAGGGGAGGGAAGAGAATTGGGTACCTTTTGCTGTGTTTGTGTCGGCTGAGGCAGTGGTGGTTGCTCTGTGGTTCCCATAGGCAGTTCAAATCGAGGGCTGGTTTAGACAGACAGACAAGAAAATTGATTCTTGAACCATATGCCAACGTTTTACCATCAGCTCAGTCAAGTAACTCCAAATAACAAAGAAAACATTTAGCTAATTAAATCTCACTCGAAAGAAACAGACCTCCCTTCCCACTTCTCTTTGCATTCTGCTGCTCAGCATTACATAAACTAAACTGGTAGTTCAGTAGGTTGCATCTCCCTCTAGCTGTGAAGTCTTCTGGATTCTAAACCCACGTAACCCCCCTGCACAGATGGTATCTGAGCAGCACCCCAGAGTCTGTTTGGCTCTGAGGAGCCCCTGCCCATGTCCTCAAACTGGAAATATATTGTACAACAAAGTAAACATCTGCCAACTTTCCAAGAGCAGCAGGTAGCTCCAGACCATCCCAATTTGCTATCGAGGAAACACAGGATTACAGAAGCCTGGAAACATACTCACTGCATGAATTTACAGGTAGGCCCCTCTGGACAGAATCCTACAAGGTAATTCACACAAATGACTCTTCGAGTGTGTCGGTGCCTGCAGAGGGGACCTGCAACACAAAGCTCGACAGTTTGCATTTCATACACATGTACCCCAGCATTCCCTACAACAGGTACGCAGGCAGATCATGCACAGGAAGAACAGCAGCACCCTACCCTTGCCTACTAGCCACAGAAGCAGCAGCTGTATGACATACATACCATGTTTACAGAAGCCTCTGTCATACCAGGGACAGTCTTTGATCTTAGACTCCGGGTCAATGTGCAAGAATGGACACTCTTTGTTACTGCATTCCCCTGTACCAAAGGCAAACACATTTCTTAGCAAGTGGTGCATGCACAAGAGCAAATCACTCCCAAAGCATCACCTGGATCATGGAGCTCCCACAAAGCTACTACCAACATTTATAAGTTCAGGCACAGAAACCTTATTGCCTGCCTTGACCTAGATGATGAACACCAAGCACTCACCCCAGGTGAGTAAAATTCTACCAGACTGGATTATTTATGTGTGCTTTTAAAATAATGCGGAAATTGAATTTGAAAGAGCAGTCATGGTAACAAAAACTAAACATTAAGTGCACCAAAAGTGTGGAGAAACTACAAATTGCACACTAACCTCAATCCAAGGAAACCTACAAGACTGTAAGTTTCTGACAGCAAGTTGCCTCATTATGTCCAGATCTCCAGAGCTGGAAAGCAAGTGCATAAAAGTTTTGCACCCCCATACCCTCTGCTGCTCATCAACTCCCCCAAATAAAAGTCATGCAAAGACCACCTGCTCAACCTACTCTTCTCATCCCCAAAAGAGAACATAGGCACAAACCCAGCAAAGACCTAACTTCCTCCCTCTACCCCAAAAGGAAAAGCTCTTGAGAGAGAAGACATCTCCAACACATAAAGAATTTAGGGGGATAAAATAAAGTGAAGGGATAAACAGATCTGACAGGATCTGATACAACAGTATCAGCAGACACAGAAGATGTGGAATGTTCTGAAGATGAAGGAGACGGGGCGAGAAGGATGCGCCAGGATCCTCTGCACCATCAGCTTCCCACGCTAGCAAGGAATGTCAAGGAGGAGCTATAATGCCCCTTACCAAATTTGGAGTAGAAGTAACACTCAGGCATCTTGGTCATGTCGTACTCATGCAGAAACTCGCACTGATCTCCCTTTTTGCACAGTCCGCGTAGCCAGTGTTTGCAAACAACTGTCTTTTCCCCACTGATGTGTCGGAAGGGGCACATGCCTCCTGCAGAACGACGGGGAAAGGACAAAAAGAACATTTAAAATCTGCAGCACAAGGAGCTATGCACAGGGCAGCGGCAACACTTGATCCCTCTCTGCAAAAGAAGTTTTCAGAAGACTTCACTCTTTTTTAAGCATTTATTCTTTAGTGTCAATGGTAGAACAAAGAGTACTAACAGTCTTAGATAACAGTCTTAGAGTCTACTCTATAATGAGCAGAGCAACATAGTGTACAGCTCTTAACCCTGGCAGCCATAAGTCACAGCTACTAACGTGGGCACGACCATGTCCAGAGCAAGGTCTGCTTGCAATGAGTTCAGACCTTTGCAGGCAGCCTTGCTGATTCACCCCACACCTCTAAGAAACAACCTTATTTCACAATTGTTGCAACAAAATCAATCTCAGTTACGCCCCATCTTTACAATACAGCATGAGTAACCTATACATCGATCTGCCAAGAAAGCTGGTTTCTCTTTTGCCCCCACCCATAAGAGTATAAATGTATTGGGAATATTACTTGCCTTTTCCGCAGGCCGCTTTTAAAAAAAATTCACAGACAGCAGCACCCGATTCTGTGGAGAGATCAGCCAAAGAAACATAATTAAATTTTTAAGAACTTGGGGTGATTTTTAAATTATTTCCTTCCCCACAAAGACACCCTGGCTGTCAACATCAAAAGACCAGGACATTGGCTTGGGAAATGTACTTCCAAGGGCAAGTTCCTTGTTCAAGCCTGGCCCTCACAAGCATCTGTAATCTTTCGGGCAGAAGGCACACCTAGGGGATTTACAGAGGCTTGGTTGTGTCTATTTGGCCTCACGGAGATTTAGGCTTTGTTGACTGTGCTCTCCTGTTGTTATTAAATCAACTATGTCAGTGAAACCTGCATTCACATCCAAGGGAACTGAGACCTTGGATTCTTTTGACTAGAAATGACCGAGGCAACCATTAGGAAGTCACCCCTTGCTAATTCTGACCTACAGGTATCCTAAGCACCAAATTCTGGTAAGCTCTGAGCCCCTCTGGACTAGTTTGTGCCCAATCACCCCACTGCTGGGGCAAGTTTAGGGCCCAGCCCACAGACACATTTCAAGACAAGCCCTCCCTGGTCCTTAAAATGCCTCATGCATGAGGCTCAGAGAAAGGGAAGTGCTGCAGAGGGAAGTCACGTTTATTGGGATAACGCCTCCACCTTTGCTTTCTGGCCTGGTGCAGCCCTGATGACGGGCGCCACGAAGGAGAGGGACCCCCTGGACTGAGACTAATGGGGCAGGGGGAGGGCAGACACTGTTTGGGTTTAAAAGAGCCGGGAAAGGCACAGGGGCCCCGGGTCTGTAGCGGCGCGGCGGGGACGAGAAGGGAAGGGCAGGGGGG